TGGTTTAGCTGCTTATGACGTTTTTATTGTGATGGTTGAGCTGCTGATGACGTATTTATTGTGATGGTTTAACTGCTTATGACGTATTCATTGTGATAGTTTAGCTGCTTATGGCGTATTTATTTTGATGGTTTAGCTGCTCATGACGTATTTATTGTGATGGTTTACCTGCTTATGACGTATGTATTGTGATGGTTTAGCTGCTTATTGCGGTATTTCTTATGATACTTTAGCTGCTTATGACGTATCTATTATGATGGTTTAGCCGCTTATGACGTATGTATTGTGATGGTTTAGCTGCATATGACGTATTTATTGTGATGGTTTAACTGCTTATGACGTATGTATTGTGATGGTTGAACTGCTTTTGACGTATGTATTGTGATGGTTTAGCTGCTTATGACGTATTTATTATGATGGTTTGGTGTCGCTGCAACACATTGGGGAACGATTGGGGTTGGGTTTATGAATAAGTGTCATCTCATTTCAAACCTTCTTATCAGGTAAATAGAAATCGTTTACACCAGAGACAAGTAAGGGACCTACCATTTTATATGCAGGGGTTGGGAAAGGTGTGGATGTGCCCTAAAGATATGAATTGTTTAGATATTTAACATATGCTTTAAACTGTTGAAGAAAACAAAAAAATATCTGCCCAAAATTAACAGTTCAAGAGGTCATTTTATTTTATTTCAATTTTTAGGAAACAAATCTGGCATCCACATGTTTGCGTGCATGCGTGCGTGTGTGCGTGTGTGCGTGTGTGTACAAGTCATGACTAAATAGTGCAGTGCTAAGTGCAAACGTGATGCCATGTGACCTCGTAAAGCTGAGCAAGGAAGAGTTCGTTAAAGTTTACATAACGTGGTGTGTTGGTCTATCGTCCAATATAAGCGTCAACATACCTTCCAATATAAGTGTCAATATATCACGATCAATGCCAAGCAAATAATAAAAATACAAAATCATCATGGAATTGCTGTAGGATCAGAGCGTAGGATGTGTTTTATGTGTAGGCCTTAGTTGCACGAGGAATGTCACATTGGATTTCTAAATCCTCCAATCGTACTCTGACCGATATGGTGACGTCATAACCAGTCCCGGGGATTTATAGGATAACACGTCCGTGTCAGACGTCTCCGGGAGGTCCTCGCAGGGGAGCGGAGGGGAAGGAGGGGCGGGGGTGAGGGGGAGGGACAGAGTACACAAACTGAGGGACGTCAATAAAGACAAGTCGAACCACTGTTTACATCTAGGGTACCTATTGATTCGAAACACTAGTGTCAATACTTGTGCTGTCCACCCCTGGGCAAGTGACTTAGTTCAAATGTGCCTCTGTTCACCCAGCAGGGAATGGGTACCCGACATGTGAGGTGGATGTAAAAACCTTCTAGCGCTCCTGGGTAGCTTGGGTTGTATACTCCCCAGGGAGTTGAGAATGACGACTGGAGTGCAAACGGATCCACTGGTCGGGGATCAAATAAAACCGCATTGAGCAGATACTAGTACCTGGATACCTGCGGTATATAAATGTATAGTTGACGTAGTTAGTTAATTATCAATTTTAATAATCCCTAGCAACTCTCTGTACACCCTGTATAAACGCAGAATTCTTTCCTCCTCAGTGCTTCTCTCCGTCCCATTAGGTTATAATTCATTCATTGTTGTATCTTAAGAATTACTTATTCTCTAGTTCCATCATTTTGTGCGTCAACAAGTATATACATTATTTAAATATTATTTGATATTTGTAAGTACATTTGTGTTTCGTAACCTTATGGGGCTTGACGTTCCCAGTTTTACCAAGGTTACAATCATGATTTTATACACTGTAAATGCAAAGTGTGATACAAGAATAAAAGATTTTTCTTCTTCTCTCCTTTTTCTTCTTCTTCATATTTCAATTTTAATAAATTATGATATTCTTTTTCTTTGGTCTCGTGGATAATGCGTCTGCCTGGAGACGCCTCCGTGGTCTAGTGGAAAGAGCGTCTGCCTGGAGACCGCCTCCGTGGTGTAGTGGATAGAGCGTCTGCCTGGAGACCGCCTCCGTGGTGTAGTGGATAGAGCGTCTGCCTGGAGACCGCATCCATGGTGTAGTGGATAGAGCGCCAACCCGGAGAGTGGAAGGTCGGTGGTTCGACGCCTGGTCGCGTCATATCAAAAGAAGTTAAAAGAGTATATTTGTTGTTGCCTTGCTGGACATTCAGTGTATAAAACAAAGACTAGTCGGCTTGGAGACGATATAATGTGTCTGAGGGGTATTCATGTTGAACTGCGGAATATTTAATATGTTTACAAGGAAAGGATTACAGAGCATGTAATATTAGTGTATGTATTATTGTCAGTGACAAATACTTCTTTGACTACAGCAATGCATGCTTCCTAAAAACAAGGGAATCGCGTTTGTCCCGACGTTGCAGTTTCTTATTTGTCCAAGTTGACCTTTGTTTGACTAAACGCCAAAGTACAACATTGCGAGGACACTATACAGACTATAACTGGTTATAACTGTTGTGTTCTTCTAAAAAAAATCGGCCTCCCATTCGTTTTTAGTGGTTGTCGTTGTACTCAAGACGCGAATGGCATAAGGTAATGTACGCGGATAACTGCCTCAACATGTCGTTCGCTACAACCATGTCTTAACTCTACAATCATGTCTTAACTCTACAATCATGTCTTAACTCTACAATCATGTCTTAACTCTACAATCATGTCTCAACTCTACAATCTTGTCTTAACTCTACAATCTTGTCTTAACTCTACAATCATGTCTCAACTCTACAATCATGTCTTAACACTTCAATCATGTCTCAACTCTACAATCATGTCTCAACTCTACAATCATGTCTTAACACTACAATCATGTCTTAACTCTACAATCATGTCTTAACTCTACAATCATGTCTTAACTCTACAATCATGTCTCAACTCTACAATCATGTCTTAACACTACAATCATGTCTTAACTCTACAATCTTATCTTAACTCTACAATCATGTCTTAACTCTACAATCATGTCTCAACTCTACAATCATGTCTTAACTCTACAATCATGTCTCAATTCTACTATCATGTCTTAACACTACAATCATGTCTTAACTCTACAATCATGTCTTAACTCTACAATCATATCTTAACTCTACAATCATGTCTTAACACTACAATCATGTCTTAACTCTACAATCATGTCTTAACACTTCAATCATGTCTCAACTCTACAATCATGTCTCAACTCTACAATCATGTCTTAACACTACAATCATGTCTTAACTCTACAATCATGTCTTAACTCTACAATCATATCTTAACTCTACAATCATGTCTCAACTCTACAATCATGTCTCAACTCTACAATCATGTCTTAACTCTACAATCATGTCTTAACACTACAATCATGTCTTAACTCTACAATCATGTCTTAACTCTACAATCATGTCTTAACTCTACAATCATGTCTTAACTCTACAATCTTGTCTTAACTCTACAATCATGTCTTAACACTACAATCATGTCTTAACTCTACAATCATGTCTTAACTCTACAATCATGTCTTAACTCTACAATCATGTTTTAACTCTACAATCATGTCTTAACACTTCAATCATGTCTTAACTCTACAATCATGTCTTAACTCTACAATCATGTCTTAACTCTACAATCTTGTCTTAACTCTACAATCATGTCTTAACACTACAATCATGTCTTAACTCTACAATCATGTCTTAACACTTCAATCATGTCTCAACTCTACAATCTTGTCTTAACTCTACAATCATGTCTTAACACTACAATCATGTCTTAACTCTACAATCATGTCTTAACTCTACAATCATGTCTTAACTCTACAATCTTGTCTTAACTCTACAATCATGTCTTAACACTACAATCATGTCTTAACTCTACAATCATGTCTTAACTCTACAATCATGTCTTAACTCTACAATCATGTTTTAACTCTACAATCATGTCTTAACACTTCAATCATGTCTTAACTCTACAATCTTGTCTTAACTCTACAATCATGTCTTAACTCTACAATCATGTCTTAACACTACAATCATGTCTTAACTCTACAATCATGTCTTAACTCTACAATCATGTTTTAACTCTACAATCATGTCTTAACACTTCAATCATGTCTTACATTTACGATAATGTCTTAACACTACAATCATGTCTTAACTCTACAATCATGTCTTAACTCTACAATCATGTTTTAACCCTACAATCATGTCTTAACACTTCAATCATGTCTTACATTTACGATAATGTCTTAACACTACAATCATGTCTTAACTCTACAATCATGTCTTAACACTTCAATCATGTCTTACATTTACGATAATGTCTTAACACTACAATCATGTCTTAACACTACAATCATGTCTTAACCCTTCAATCATGTCTTACATTTACGATAATGTCTTAACACTACAATCATGTCTTAACTCTACAATCATGTCTTAACTCTACAATCATGTTTTAACCCTACAATCATGTCTTAACACTTCAATCATGTCTTACATTTACGATAATGTCTTAACACTACAATCATGTCTTAACACTACAATCATGTCTTAACCCTTCAATCATGTCTTACATTTACGATAATGTCTTAACACTACAATCATGTCTTAACTCTACAATCATGTCTTAACTCTACAATCATGTTTTAACCCTACAATCATGTCTTAACACTTCAATCATGTCTTACATTTACGATAATGTCTTAACTCTACAATCATGTAAGGCATAAATAAACGTCCTATTTCCTACAAACTGTCCACCCGGCAGTCAACAATTTAATGAAACAGTACATGAATGTACACATACCATGCCAGGCTTTAACGCTGGAGACGCTGCGTTTTGCCAAACAAATTGATATGTTTAATTTGTTACAGTCATTATTAAAATAAGGATTGTCCGTAAAAGCATTTAGACGCCATCGCATTTTGAAGGATACACTTCGGCAGGAACGAGACAATTTTCATATTTTCATGTATTTATTATACCTTATACATTAAAGACATTAATATACAAATGAAAGATTTGTAGATCTTGAAGTTTACAGTCAATCAATCAACAACACACAACATCAAATAAGAGGAAAATCCAAGGAGAAAAACATTATGCCAATTAATACTGGCTTTAGTGCTAATTTAATTTTGAAGGAAGCGTTTCTTGATTTTTAATCAGTGAATAATAACTCAGTTAGGTGACTAACTGACACCAACGTATTTCAACACGCATACCTCGATAGTCAGTATGTTCTTAGTTTGACAGTGACACAGGAAGTGGTCCATCACATCCACGAGTTGAAGCTTCCGGCACGCGGAGTACCGGACTGGGGAGCCGGCAAGAAGGAGGGGCGAGACATGGGCGCCCCCCTGGGGGTCCCGCTGAACATGGATCCATCCTCCCCAGTGAAGGAGTTTACAGAGGAGTTGCGAGGAAGGTCAACATCCGAGGGAAAGTCGTCGTCATCGTTATCAAACACCGACAACGCGGACTGCCGTCGCTTGTATGGGTCATACCCGGAACTTGTGCTGCTTTCCAGGGAGGCCTTCCGGTCGAAGTCCTTCATCAGCCCCTGCCGTTTGGGGAAACTCGGGTGGGTGACGTTGAACCCACCCGACGACGAGGATGCCAACTTCCACACCCCATACCCAAGCCCCCCTAGGACAAGGGGAGCGACAACTCCTGCTGTTGCAGCAACAGCTTCCGGCCAGATTGGTGTACCCTGTCCGCCACCGGAAGTACAGTTACATGTCCGCGCACACTAGAATGCAGAGACATTTCAATATAAGTCAAATATGTTTGTCTGAACTCCTTCGATGGTCACGGGTATTTATTCAAAATGAGACATCGTTTGTCAAAACGTCGTTTGAAGCGCCATCACTCCAAGGCACTAGCCCCTACGTTTTAAAGGAAGCTATTTCGCATTCCGACAAATAGAATTTGTTTCTGCAGATATTTGAGACTGGGTATTCTATGACGTTGTCGTTTTGACCTTGCTCATCTGGTTGTCTTTAATGTTTGAGTAAATTATATTTTGAAACTTTTAGTTGTATACAGTCGGTTTGAACTCGCTCAGCCTACGAGCTAGCGTTTTGGTTAATGCATTCCTATTCACACCCAATACCCAGGGTCGACTCCATCCGGCAAGGGCACAGTAATCCAATTATTTACGTCCACCTTCACAGAGAACATTGCTAACTTTTCACTTTATTTGTAACACTATTATTATTTATTCAACACAATACATTGGGTGAGGTGAAATGGGGTTTAACGTCGCGTCCAAGATTATTGCACTTATATAGCGACGTGCATGTACGTGTGTGTGTTTGTGTGGCTGCTTGTACTAGTCCGGACTGATGCCGATTTATAGTGCTAGGTCACTGAGATACCATGCCGCAGTTTAACATGAATATCCCACTCAGACACAATTTACTGACTCCGAGCCGACCAGTCCTTGTTTTAGCCCCTTAATGCCGAGCGGCAGACAGGGTAACAACAAGTACCATCTTTTAACGTCTTTTGGTATGACGCGGCCGGGGACCAAAGCCCGGACCTTCCGCTCTCCGGGCTCTACCACTAGACCATGGAGGTGGTCTCACAATACAATGGAATGTTAAAGATGTTATAGTTAAAACGCTGTTGTCGTTGTAGAGACATTACGATACAACGAGATTTCTGGTGTAGTGTTGTAGTTCTGTAGTGTTGTAGTTCTGTAGTGTTGTTGTTCTATAATGTTGTAGTTCTGTAGTGTTGTAGTTCTGTGGTGTTGTAGTCCTGTAGTGTTGTAGTTCTGTAGTGTTGTAGTCCTGTAGTGTTGTAGTCCTGTAGTGTTGTAGTTCTGTGGTGCTGTAGTTCTGTAGTATTGTAGTGTACACAGATATTGAAACGTTTTTAGGAAAATGGTTAATCATTAGAAACGTAAAAGCCAATAAAGAATATATCGAAAGCGATAACTCACGAAACTGTCGGCCGCAACCACAAGGCAAAGATGACAGATGGCCACACACACAAGCAGAGGACGCGCCATTGTGCTGAATGTGTGCTTGTGTTGACAAATCCCACATTAAGACAGGGATTTTATCTTTGTCGCCACTTTCATGGCCGCGGTACATGTATTGATTATTGACCGATAAGAAAGCACATTTTAACATGTTAATACTTTGTTTTAATAATTTATAAAGTTATAAAGTTATAATTATTCACGTTATTTCAACAAGCAAGGTATATATTTTTTGGGGACTATCAATATTTCAGCTCTATGACGGCGGTGAACCCATTTAAGGTCGGTTGGGTAACCCCTTTGGTTAAAGTGAGTGGGTGAGTGAGTTGGGTTTAACGCCACTTTTAACAGTATTCCAGTTATATCCCGGCGTGGCAGCTTAGTGGGGATGAAAAGCTCGAAGTGATGCGGGTCTCAGACGTTTACCACTTCGAGCACGGGTATGGTGCTGACAAACCTAGAAACATAATCGGGGCTAGCCGGGATTCGAACCCACAATCATAGGTTTCTGGCGTGCCCAAGGCATGCAAATCTGCACAGCGAATCGCGGCGCCCTAGACGACTGGGCCACCCGTGCCCCCCATGGTTAAAGCGTTTACTAGCAGACCGAGGTTCGATTCCCTTCATGTTTGAAGTCCAGTCGTCGCATTGACCCGCATTGGTAATTGCTGAATGCGACGTATATTTTGGTATGGTACTGACGCGCTAAGGATCGTATTGCACCGTGTTCCTGCAGCACCAGGACCCGTGAAGATCCGGGGTAGAATAGGTCTTCAGCAACCCATGCTTGCCGTAAAAGGCGACTATGCTTGTCGTTAAAGGCGACTACGGGATCGGGTAGTCAGGCTCGTTGACTTGGTTGAAGCATGTCATCGACCCCAATTACGTGCATCAATGCTCATGATATGAATCACCGGATTTTGCTGTATAGCTGAAATATTGCTGAGTGCGGCATAAAACAACCAACCTGTAGCACCGGTACCGTGATATGGAGACGTGCTCTCGGGTCCTGTCACAAGTTCCAAGCACATTGCATAGTGTTTTATTTCTCTTTATTCGAGAAAAATACGTTCATGCAGCAACAATTAAATTGTTCACTGTTCACTTACGTGATTCTACTATTCTCTTCAGCAACCCATGCTTGCCGTAAATGGTGACTATGCTTGTCGTAAGAGGCGACTAACGGGATCCGGTGTCAGGCTCGCTGTCCTGGTTGATGCATGTCATCGATCCCAATTGTGTAGATTGATGTTCATGATGTCAATCACTGGATTGTCTGGTCCAGACTGGATTATTTACAGACGGCCGTCATACAGCTGGAATATTGCTGAGTGCGGCGTTAAACAACAACCAAACAAACAAATACTGTCTCAGTATCGTATATATCACCTGTGGAAACAACATGAAAGAAACAAATGGATAGGGCGGCGTTAAACAACAAACAAACAAAACAACCAAATCGTATATATTATCACGTCTTTATTCTTAAGACACTTGGCCTAACTCTGCTTCAGATAACGGCAAATGATAGACAGCTAATTACAGTGGTAAATCCGACGCATCAAACATAACGGTAAAACTTCAAAGCAATACCCGCAGTCGTATAACAACGGTGATCAATGGTGTCCATACTGGCTTCAGGTGGGCTTACAGAGTTGACATTGGTGGTAGCTCGGGAGCTTCAGGTGAGAGAGTCTACTCCATCATGCGCTTTGAAGTCTTAATTGTATGTTGCACAAGGTCGAGGTCCTGGTCGTGTGTACACAACATGAAATCACACAAGGTGTCATGTGCAGTGGTAACTTTATTTTTTTTTCGTCTTTCAGAAATCCAAAATGAAAGTTTAAACACCAACTGTGCTTCAACCATTTAGGGACCGATCATTTGGTATTCGGGGCGGAGGAAGGGGGAGGAGAGTGGTTGGGGAAGGGTGTGTGTGTGTGTGTGGGGGGGGGGGGGGGGGGGGGGGGATTGGTGCTGGGATATTATCGAAGAAAATAAATTGTATTTAGAAAAGAATTATTATGCTTCAGACTTGAAAAAAAAGATTTGTCTCCCACAAAAATTACATCGTTGCAAGGTGTTTTTCTTTTAAAAATTATTCTTGCTCATAGTTTTAATTTAAAAATATCTGCTTTTGGAGCTGTATCTGTAAATGGCCGGTCACTTGTGATCATAAAAACAATAACGCTTAAATGTTTATATGTTGCCGAAAAGAACCATGTGGCTCGTAGATGTAAGAATGGAAGACCCCGTTAGCTTCAATGACGTAACGCACCATGGAGACACGAGGTCATGTACTTCTGACGACATTTCAGGTCACATACACTGTATCGGCTGGAACGTACGTGTGTGTGTCTGTGTGTCTGCCTGTCTGTATGTGTGTGTCTGTGTCTGTCTGCCTGTGTGTGTGTGCATGTGTGTCTGTGTGTGTACCTGTGTATATCTGTGTGTATGTGTCTGTTTGTGAGAGTGTCTGTATGTGTATGTCGTGTCTGTGTGTGTGCATGTGTGTCTGTGTGTGTGCCTGTGTATATATGTGTGTGTATGTGTGCATTTGTGTGTGTCTGTGTGTGAGTGTAGCTCCGTGTGTGCCTGTTTGTGTCTGTATATGTGTCTCTATGTGTGTATGTGTGTCTGTGTGGGTGTATCTCTGTGTGTGCCTGTGTATGTGTGTCTCTATGTGTGCCTGTGTGTGTCTGTGTATGTGTGTGCCTGTGTATGTGTGTCTCTATGTGTGCCTGTGTATGTGTGTCTCTATGTGTGCCTGTGTGTGTGTGTCTCTATGTGTGCCTGTGTGTCTCTATGTGTGCCTGTGTGTGTGTGTCTCTATGTGTGCCTGTGTGTGTGTCTCTATGTGTGCCTGTGTATGTGTATCTCTGTGTGTGCCTGTGTATGTGTGTCTCTATGTGTGCCTGTGTGTGTCTGTGTATGTGTGTGCCTGTGTATGTGTGTCTCTGTGTGTGCCTGTGTATGTGTGTCTCTATGTGTGCCTGTGTGTGTCTGTGTATGTGTGTGCCTGTGTATGTGTGTCTCTATGTGTGCCTGTGTATGTGTGTCTCTATGTGTGCCTGTGTGTGTGTGTCTCTATGTGTGCCTGTGCCTGTGTGTCTCTATGTGTGCCTGTGTGTGTGTGTCTCTATGTGTGCCTGTGTGTCTCTATGTGTGCCTGTGCCTGTGTGTCTCTATGTGTGCCTGTGTGTGTGTGTCTCTATGTGTGCCTGTGTGTGTGTGTCTCTATGTGTGCCTGTGCCTGTGTGTCTCTATGTGTGCCTGTGTGTGTGTGTCTCTATGTGTGCCTGTGTGTGTGTGTCTCTATGTGTGCCTGTGTGTGTGTGTCTCTATGTGTGCCTGTGCCTGTGTGTCTCTATGTGTACCTGTGTGTGTGTGTCTCTATGTGTGTCTCTATGTGTGTGTGTGTCTCTATGTGTGCCTGTGCCTGTGTGTCTCTATGTGTGCCTGTGTGTGTGTGTCTCTATGTGTGCCTGTGCCTGTGTGTCTCTATGTGTACCTGTGTATGTGTGTCTCTATGTGTGCCTGTGTATGTGTGTCTCTATGTGTGCCTGTGTGTCTCTATGTGTGCCTGTGCCTGTGTGTCTCTATGTGTGCCTGTGCCTGTGTGTCTCTATGTGTACCTGTGTGTGTGTGTCTCTATGTGTGCCTGTGTATGTGTGTCTCTATGTGTGTGTGTCTCTATGTGTGCCTGTGCCTGTGTGTCTCTATGTGTGCCTGTGTGTGTGTGTCTCTATGTGTGCCTGTGCCTGTGTGTCTCTATGTGTACCTGTGTATGTGTGTCTCTATGTGTGCCTGTGTGTGTGTGTCTCTATGTGTGCCTGTGTATGTGTGTCTCTATGTGTGCCTGTGTATGTGTGTCTCTATGTGTACCTGTGTGTGTGTGTCTCTATGTGTGCCTGTGTGTGTGTGTCTCTATGTGTGCCTGTGTATGTGTATCTCTATGTGTACCTGTGTATGTGTGTCTCTATGTGTGCCTGTGTATGTGTGTCTCTATGTGTGCCTGTGTATGTGTGTCTCTATGTGTGCCCGTGTGTGTGTGTCTCTATGTGTGCCTGTGTATGTGTGTCTCTATGTGTACCTGTGTATGTGTGTCTCTATGTGTGCCTGTGTGTCTCTATGTGTGCCTGTGTGTGTGTGTCTCTATGTGTGCCTGTGTATGTGTGTCTCTATGTGTGCCTGTGTGTGTGTGTCTCTATGTGTACCTGTGTGTGTGTGTCTCTATGTGTACCTGTGTGTGTGTGTCTCTATGTGTGCCTGTGTGTGTGTGTCTCTATGTGTGCCTGTGTGTGTGTGTCTCTATGTGTGCCTGTGCCTGTGTGTCTCTATGTGTGCCTGTGTGTGTGTGTCTCTATGTGTGCCTGTGTGTGTGTGTCTCTATGTGTGCCTGTGTATGTGTGTCTCTATGTGTGCCTGTGTGTGTGTGTCTCTATGTGTACCTGTGTATGTGTGTCTCTATGTGTGCCTGTGTATGTGTGTCTCTATGTGTACCTGTGTATGTGTGTCTCTATGTGTGCCTGTGTATGTGTGTCTCTATGTGTGCCTGTGTGTGTGTGTCTCTATGTGTACCTGTGTGTGTGTCTCTATGTGTACCTGTGTATGTGTGTCTCTGTGTGTGCCTGTGTATGTGTGTCTCTATGTGTGCCTGTGTGTCTCTATGTGTGCCTGTGTGTGTGTCTCTATGGATGCCTGTGTATGTGTGTCTCTATGTGTGCCTGTGTGTGTGTGTGTGTCTCTATGTGTGCCTGTGTGTGTGTGTCTCTATGTGTACCTGTGTATGTGTGTCTCTATGTGTGCCTGTGTATGTGTGTCTCTATGTGTGCCTGTGTATGTGTGTGGCTGTGTATGTGTCTCTATGTGTGCCTGTGTGTGTCTGTGTATGTGTGTCTCTATGTGTGGCTATATGTATGTATGTGTGAATATGTGTGTCTGTGTGTATGTGCATGTGTGTGACTGTGTGTGAGTATGTGTGTGTATGTGATTGTGTGTGTATGCATGTGTGTGTATTTGTGTGTATGATTGTGTGTGCCTGTGTGTGTGTGCCTGTATGTGTGCCTGTGTATGTGTGTGAATATGT